TATCAGGATTTAGTTTAAATTTTAGTCTATCTCCGTGTTCAATCTGACTCCAATTTCACGTGATCATTAAATTTAGGCAATATTTCTAATCAAAAGCTGATCACAGATATCGATTGTTTATTAATTTAGATATTTGAGTATTCTGGAAATCCAATACTTTCAATTATTCATTCATTAAGGACCTAACATCGCTTAGAAATTCACTGGGCCAACTGTGAACTCACGAACACAAACTCGCCAGTTTTGAACTTACTCAGAGGATACAGGGTGATTATAATACCTTTAAGTGCCGCACTCTGCTAGCAAATAACAAAAAGGGTATTTTTCCTATAATCACGAAAACTGTAACTTGTTAAGCCAGGTGACAGACAGAAATCATAAGATCCCTAATGGAGAGCCCCCTGCCCCGCTCATTGGTACTTAAGTATGATCTGTCCTGGACGCAGATTTGCGGAAATGTTAGACTACACAATAATCTACTTGAAAAATGATTTCAGAAGAGATCCGAATAAATCAAATATAACAATTTATTATTAGTCAGGTAAAATTGTATCATGTCAATTAAATAATTAAATAATTAGAAGTCCATTTAAAAAGGATAATGCAATTGTGAAACATATTGTATCCGCGTGGCAACGATAAGAAACAAAGAAATCTTTAAATCAGTTGTAAAAACATAAAATACCTTTTGGTTTTTTAGGTTCCCGTGCTCCATGGTCACACCTGGCTGGAGATAGATAAACATTCCCGCAGGCAGGGCCGCATTAAGACCGCACTGGGCCCCAGGGCTATGACTTACTGCAGGGCCCCCCATCACAATAATGATATATATATATATATATAGGGTACAAAGGGGCTAAAGGCCCACCTTAAGAACAAATGTGCCATTCACTGCACCTAAAATGTATAATTGCAGAAAAAATATATACGTTGTATTGAACATTAATGGAGCAACAGATTTTGTGTGAAAATAAATCATTCAAGTTGTTTATTTTGTTTAAAAATCGTATAAATGTATGAGGTGGCAAGAGGGGCCTTTTACCCCACACACGGGGTAAACGGCTCACCAGCATGGGGTAAAAGGCACACGGTATTTATACAAATACTTCAGCTAAAATAATGTTTTTTAAATAATGTC